TCAAATTTGTTATTTCAAACTTAAAATTCCTTGTCCCTCACTCTCTTACCCCCGATAATTTTCCAATTTGGAGCACCCAAATTGCAAAATTATTCAAGGCAAATGGCTTCGGGACGTTTCTCGATCCTAATCTTGGCACGGAAAATCAAGATCCAAATCAAGATCTTTCATCTTGGACGGTCACCGACCAAAATTTGGCAACCGCTGTGTGCTCAACAATTTCCCCTGAGGTTCTTCCTTATGTGATTCATTTGGAATCAACAAATGAAATCTGGAAGACATTGCACACTCGGTTCCAATCTTCAAACCGTTCCAAGGTAATTCAGCTCAAAAACGAGCTACATAACATATCTATGCTGTCTCGCACCATGACCCAATATCTCACCGAAGTTAAAAAGATTGTGGATCAAATATCATCCGCGGGATCTTCCGTTGATCCGGAGGACGTTATAATCTACATTCTAAACGGGTTGCCACCGGCATACCAATCTTTCACCACCACAATCCGTACTCTGCAAAGCTCCATGACTCTTGATAATTTGTATTCGCTTCTCATGAGCGAAGAAATCCACATCAAATCCGCAGCCCAGAAATTTCCGCTGGCTCAAGAAACACAATCTGCCTTGTTCTCATCTCGGGGTCGAGGTCGACGAGGAAGGACCAGATCGACCACTACCGTGAACACGACTAACAAAGCACCTCAATCAATGAGCGTTCAATGTCAAATTTGCAAGAAGAAGGGTCATGAGGCGGACACTTGCTGGCATAGACTTAATGCCAACTATGTTCCGAATCAGCAACAGTCAAAATCTACAAATGCTCTCATTGCAAACACCGATGTATCCTCCGGCGTTGACTGGTATATTGATTCCGGCGCTTCATCGCATATGACGAACTCAACTGATCACCTTACAAACTACAATCCGTATTATGGTAACGACATGGTAACTATTGGGGACGGAAGGTCGGTACCAATTGCCCATACGGGATCGGGTATCCTTCCAACCCCGGCCAGTAAGCTCCTATTATCCCACTTACTGCACATTCCTTCCCTTTCCTATAATCTTCTCTCTATATCTAATCTTGTCAAGGACAATAATATTTCCATTACTTTTGATGCTAATGGGTTTGTTTTTAAGGATCCGAAGACCGACCAAATAATTCTCAGCGGTCCATGTCACAAAGGACTGTACAAGATTAACTCTACAAAATCACAGGTCATTCCAGCTGCTCTCTCGGCTACAACGCTCTCGGTCGACTGGCACAAACGGCTGGGTCACCCACATAGGCGTATTCTTCAGCAAATTTCGCGTCATCACCCGTCTATACACCTATCGCCAAATGTTTCTACTTGTATTTCTTGTTTGTCTTGTAAGGGACACAAGCTTCCGTTTGAACGTTCTTCTAGTACTACTAATTTTCCGCTTGAAATTGTCCATTCGGATGTATGGGGACCGTCTCCGGTTCCCTCACATTTGGGTTACAACTACTATGTAATCTTTGTTGACGATTTCTCAAGATTCGTTTGGTTATTTCCGCTTCAATCTAAACATGAAGTTACTAACATTTTTATAAACTTTACGCATTTTATTGAACGTCAAACAAATAGAAAACTTAAAATAATTCGCACAGACGGAGGCGGCGAGTTCGTTAATCACAAATTTCAACATTTCACGAGAACGGCCGGTATCTTGCACCAAACTTCATGTCCCTATACGCCCGAACAGAATGGATTGGCCGAAAGGAAGCATCGTCACATAATTACTATGACTAGAACTTTGCTTCATACCGCCGGTCTACCTATGTCTTTTTGGATGGAAGCAGCTCTCACGGCTACATATCTTATTAACCGAACTCCTTCTCTCACTACCAAAAACATGTCTCCTATTCAACGAATGTTCAACATCTTACCCTCATACGAACACCTTCGAGTGTTCGGTTGTGAATGCTACCCTCTGTCTACACCCATAAATCGCACCAAACTCTCGCCGACCTCTGATGCTTGTATTTTCATAGGCTACTCAGACACAATGAAGGGCTACAAGTGCTTAAACCTGGTAACAAATAAGGTTCTTATATCTAGAAATGTGCAATTTAATGAAGTTGTCTTTCCATATAAAAACAGGAACCAAAACATTCCAACGGTGTCAACCAATACTCCCCCGAACCTGCTCATTCCGGTATCCACGATTCGTAACTCTGCTCAACTCAAACAAACTCCTGTCAGCAATGCTACGTCCATACCATCTCAGCATCCCACCACGACAGCCTCGGTTGATCATACTAACACAGATCAACTCAATCCCATTCCTTCTCATCATAATGAATCGAGACATATGATGACTACTAGAGCGAAAACGGGATCACTTAAACCCGTTCAAAGGCTCAACTTGATTCATCATCCACAATCCCCTTGCGAACCTACCAATTATCGAGAAGCAAGCAAATTTTCTGAATGGAGGAATGCCATGGCCGAAGAATTCTATGCACTGCAAAAACAGGGCACTTGGGAATTAGTCTCACCACCGCCTAACAGCTCCATTTTAGGCTCAAAATGGACATATCGGATAAAACAAAAATCGGATGGATCGATTGCAAGATTCAAGGCGCGTCTTGTAGCTCAAGGAAATCAGCAACAATATGGCCTAGACTATTTGGACACATTCAGCCCAGTTGCCAAATTGCCTACTGTTCGTATCCTACTAGCCATTGCCATTTTTCATAAATGGAATGTACATCAACTGGATGTCTTTAACGTCTTCTTACACGGCGACATTAAAGAAACGGTTTACATGCGTCAACCAAAAGGCTTCGAAGACTCCAAAGTAATTCGGTCTCTAATTCCTCCTTTACTAAACTTCCGGTACCAGCTTTGGACGATCACGCTTGGCTGGACGCTCAACGATATCGTCAAATAATTGGTTCTCTACAATACTTAACTCTTACGAGACCAGACATATCCTACGCTGTTAATGCGTTATCTCAGCATATGCACGATCCCAGCAAGCAGCACATGCTCATGTTAAAGAAGCTATTAAGGTACATCAAAGGAACCACAGATTTCGGACTTCCGATCTACAGCTCTGATCTCACGCTTTGGACTTTCTCCGACGCCGACTGGGCTTCAGATCCTGTGTCCCGAAAATCCACATCTGGTTTTTGCACTTTTCTAGGCAAGACCTTAATTTCTTGGACCGTCAAGAAGCAGCAAACGGTATCACGATCGTCCACTGAATCTGAATACCGGGCACTCGCTTCAGCCACCGCAGACACAATTTGGATTAAAAGACTGCTTGAAGAATTCCGCATTCACCACCATCAGCCTGTAGACGTCTTCTGCGACAATACGTCCACAATAGCATTGGCTAACAATCCTGTCTTCCACGCGCGCACCAAGCACATTGAAATTGATCAACGATTTATCCGCGATCACATTCAAAACAATACCATTCGGCTACTACCTATCAGCACAACAGATCAAATTGCCGACATCCTAACCAAGCCTCTTTCAACGGCTCGCTTCAAAGATTTAAGATCCAAACTGACTATCTCTTCTAGATCATCAGTTTGCGGGGGAATGTTAGAAGAATGCAAATAAATCAACTCATAATTAACCCTATAGGAAGTCGACACGTGTACTAGCCGTTAGGTTCTATTCTTCCTGTATCTATTTAACCACTTCTATTTCTCTGTAACACTGCATGATCAATAATACAATTTACATTTTCTCTGTTATGCTCGTTTCTTGAACCCTCTCTGGGTTTCTTCAATTATTTGATCCATTCTTTGCACAGGATCTATCTGCATATGTGCCACCACTCGCCTGTAGAATAGCCATTGTAATTTGCTTAATTAATGTCATTATGGATTCTTTCTGGCTTTAGAATTTTCATGGAATGTTTGTTAGTGCTTTTTTTAACGTAGCTCGTCTCTGTAACTTCTATCAGTTTGGTTGATGATCTGCTATTAATGTTTGCTTGTAGAATTTAAATTAGCAATAAGAGCAAACTCTAGTTGGTTAATAATTTTGTTTAATTTGCTTGGTTCCTCATTACTTATTGTATTGCTATATTGGCTCATGAAAATTAACAGCTTTTGTGTATATTAATTATAATACTTTTCGAATCATTTTAATATTCTAAGGCTTCGTTTGGGATTGTCTTTCTTACTGTTTTTTAAAGTTGTTTTTAGTGCAAAGATTTTAACTTTTGTACTAAAAAATTGCTTTAAGAAGCAGTAAAAAAGTCATCTTAAACGAAGTCTAAATCTTACCTATCACCTTGTCTGATACCACAGTATCAAAAATTTTATAGTCAACTAAAAATTTTAATCCTATGAGAGAAAGTTAACCACTTGCTATGTTAATATCAATATATTTTTCATCTATTTGTTGTGAGAGATGAAACCTAAATACTCATATATTTTAACAATATATTCCTCATATGATAATTCTTTGCATAGATCATTAAACCCCCTTAAATAGAAGCTTATCAACTCAATCATATTTAGGATCTATTTGAGACAACTGTAGCTTTACATAAAGCTAATTGTGAAGTTACTATAGAGAAAACAACTTCTGGCTCATTTGGCGTAGCTTTCTAACTGCTTCAAGGCGTTAAAAAGCACCAAAATATTCAATTTTTTTTTTTAACTTTGTTTAATTTAAAATATTGAAATCTATCTCGAGCCGGTGGTTTGCCCGTTGCTTGTGATTTTTAGGAGAGAAATGCCCAAAATGCTCTATGATGGTGGATAATAAAATGAATCCATCTCACAGCTTGAAGATCTCTATGATGGTGGATAATAATATCTCTAATATAGAATAGGGCAACTTCTTGATGAAAGCATTAGAATGGATGTCAGCCCAAATTTCGCAGATGGAGAAGGCACAGATGAGATGGTTGAAATTAGAGATAATATTGTTATGCAATTACAAAATTCTAATCCGTAACGATTATTAATGTTTCTTTATCATTGATATAATCAATATTTTTTTTTTATGGGACAACAAATTGTTTAATATACTGCAAAAAAATATAGATTTCTTGCAGAGAATTCTGAAACATTTTGTAAACTGAACTCCCAATAGAAATTCAGAAGAGATATTAAGAGAGAAAATCACTATGCATTCTTTTCGGCCACAAATTCCTTTATAATTGTGAGCAATTCGTTTACCTTATGATGATGGTTTCAAATTATTCAACAAATTCATAAAGCACAAAGTGATGATCGAAATAATTCTTCTTCAACAAGTCCACTAAAGCATGAAGCATATGACCGAAGCAATTATCTCAAAATTCACATAAAATCTGAGACTGAACTCAGATTGAAGTCTCTTCAATTAAGAGAGAAAATCACTATGCATTCTTTTCAGCCTCAAATTCCTTTATCAACATGAGAAAATTGTGAACAATTCGTTTCCCTTCTGTGGTGATGGCACTCTCTGGATGAAACTGCACTCCCTGGATGTGCTTATACTTTTTGTGTCTAGCACCCATAATAAGTACATCTTCAGTCCATGCTGTAATCTCCAGAATGTCGTCAGGAAAACTATCATTTTCAATCACAAGGCTATGATATCTAGCAGCATTAAAAGGGTTCGGTAAGCCAGAGAATAAACTATACTCTAGCTTCTCATCATAATAAACAAGTGCGCCTTTACCATGTACAACACCATAAGGAGATCGCACTATTTTTCCTCCAAAAGCCTCTCCAATGCACTGCAAGCCCATACAAACTCCAAACAGTGGAATAGAGGGGCCAAGTTCTAGAACAGTTTGTAAGGATATTCCGGAATCTTTCGGTGCACCCGGCCCTGGAGAAATTAGTATACCTCTAGGATTCATCCTTCTTATTTCGTCTACAGTGAACTCATCATTACGGTAGACCTTGAAGTTAGTTCCAAGCTCTCCTATGTACTGCAAACAAAAAGGGATGTGGTATTCCATATTCCTTCTTGTGCTCGGTAGTTTGGTATTACATCAATCATTACTTTAGCAGATACATCAATATTGTAATTTCAACTCTCAACTAAGCATCAATGGAATTCAATGACTTGATTTCAACAACTTACACACAATAGATGTTCGTCGTCCTGGCAAAGATTATAAGTAAAACTATCGTAATTATCTATAACAATGATCGGCTTCTCATCCTTCGCCGCTTCAAGAACCCTAACCCCATCCACAGCTTTCACAGCAGAACAACGCCGATACAACGAATAGCCCTTGCTCCACGCCACCAACCTTGGACCTCTTAGTTGGAAGCCTAAGCTCTCAACCAATAGGCCAAGGAGAGTTGTGTGTTCAATGTAATTCTCGCTTTCATTTTATATGAATTTGCTAAATTTCATGTTCACCACCACTATTTGAGGTAAAGTTATTCTGTGCGGATACGAATGCCATCCGGAGGTGAATCATAATGCACCACGTCATTTTTTTTGTTATGTACCACGGTCGTGTAGTGGGTGATGTGATGCGTTCTGATTCGACACTGGATGAATAATTTCTCCTATTTGAAGGCCAACGCATTCGTTTAACACATTCGTCTCTTGCAATTTCAGGAAAACCTATGTTGTGCATTTAGTTATTTGGCATATTAATTTTTGAAGGCAGTTTGTATCTGATGTTCAGTTACAACATGCTATTATTAAATTTATTATTTATTAAACTTGAGCATTATATTTTTTTAATTGATGTAAAAGGATGTCTACAAGGGCGGCGTGTGAACCCTTAAGATGTTGGTGAAGGTTTAAACGACAAACATTTTGGAATAGACCCATGGGCAGTTTGTTAGATGTGGAATTTGATTGTATTGATCAATTTGATTATTTTGTTATCTTAGATTTTAAAGCTTGTCTTGTTCGGTGGGGGTGCAGGGGGTTTACCCCCAGCTTGAATTTTTTTTCCCATTTAATGCCTCAAAGCTCCATAACTGAGTGCCCCGGCACTGTGTACCCGAGCACCCCAGTGTTAAACCACAAAGAGCAGAGCACCGCAACGGCCTAGATATGACGTCTTAGCTGTGCAATACATATGATTGAACGTCGCAACGCCTCAAATTGGTGTTTCAGCACTGCGAGATAGACTGAATCATTTATATCTTATTTTTCTAAATGATTGCATCCCTCGGGGTTTCCTTGGCTTTCTCTTTGTATTTTTGACTAGGGCAAGTGTAAGAACGATATGTGAGAAGAGAAGTAAAAAAAGAATGTGAGACAAGAGAGATTTGTACTCATTTCTCTCAAGTTTTACGGTGGATTTCTTGGTGTGGTGTAGCTCAGTGATTTTTTTCATATTTTGAATTTTTCCATATTAAATTTTGTTGTCATTTACTTTTCGATGCTTTTAATTTCTTTGTTGTTTCATCATTGTGGTGTTTACTCCTCCTCATCTTTCTCAACACAATTTCCAAAGAATATTAAAAGGATTTGATCATAAGTATACATAATTTAAAGATCATTCAATCCTTTAATTTATGTCTAAAAATTTTAACTATATTTCAAATGCTTGAGTTGAATTCATTTCTACTTAAATAGGAAGTGTTATTTTTTCCGCCTTATCAGGACATTTAGGTTTTGTTTGGGACTGCTTCCTTACTATTTTCTAAAACAGCTTTCTAATAGAAAATTTTCTAATTAAAAAAAAATTGTTCTAAAAATTTACTTTAGAAATCAGTAAGGAAGATGTCTCAAACGAAGTCTTAGTTTGACTATAAATTTTTTGAAATCAAAACTAAGATATTTCAGTTGCTCAATATCATCTTTTGCCTTTTATGTTCAATTCACCAAAGTTAAAAATATTTAAAAGCTACTAATTGGAACTCTTTCCATGACATTTTAAAAAACAATTTAATTTTAGCTTAAGCAAGGGGCAACACATTGATTATAACCATTTGAAAAGCAGCCCTCTCTACTTCAGCAAGCACTTATCATTCAAGAAAATTTAATCCATTCTACCAAATGTAACATCATTTGGATTAAATAAAGAGGCAAATGTGTTTGACTCTCTAAAGATGAGGATTATCTTAAACTAATTTATCATAAGATTAAAAAAGAAAAAAAGAATAGTAACGTTATAAAATACATCATTACTTCTATTAATTGCTTAAATGATCAACTTGGTACTGCTGAGTTGCCATATAATATTTCTTGATATGTAATAAAAAAATTATCTTGATCGGGCACGAATCTCGATGCAAAATCAAGTTGGAAATTTCCAAAATTAAAATTGGGACCATCCAAACTCCGATTCCAGCAAACTTATAGTCCAACTGAGCGTCTTGAGAATACGAACCAAACGACACCAAATCCAACCCAATCCGAGCTCAAACGAGAATCAAGGGTTAGAAGCATTGTTGGAAGGTTCAAACCACAATTTGGATTACCAAATGGTTTTCAAACATAATGTTCTTATAGTCGAATCGAGCGGCTCAACGAGACAAATCCAACAAGCCCAAGATCACTGAATTCCAACATCACTAAGTCATTCAAATGTCCATAAAAAAATAGACCCCTCATTTGAAAAGGGGACCGAAGAAAGAAGAGAAGGAATAAGATCCTCCTCGACCACCGCCTGAGTTCTGCCGGACCACTGCCTGACATCGTTACTCCGCCGGACCACCACCTGAGGCCCTCTCCTTCGTCAAACCACCACTTGAGGCCCTCGCCTTCGCCGGACCACCACTTGAGGCCCTCACCCTCATCAGACCTCCACCTGAGGGCCTCCCTCTTTGCCGGACCATCACCTGAGGCCCTCGCCTTTGCTAGACCACCGCTTGAGGCCCTCACCCTCGTCGGACGACCACTTTAGACCCTCGCCTCGCTGGACCACCACCTGAGGCTCTCACCCTCGCCGGACCACCACTTGAGGCCCTCACCTTCGTCGGACCACCATATGAGGCCCTCACACCCACTGAACCACCGCTTGAAGCCCTCACCTTCGTTGGACCACCACCTGAGGCCCTCACCTTTACCGAACCACCGACTGGGGCCATCACCTTTGCCAGACCACCACCTAAGGGCCTGAACTTCGTCAGACCACCACTTGAGGCCCTAAACTCCGCCACCATCAACTGACGCCAGAGTTCTGCCAAGTCACTGTCGTACTACAAACTGACGCCCACTACACTACGTAGGTACCTGTGTTGGTGAGGCGTCGGTCGGTCCTAGAAACGGCGGCAGCCGCGCGAGGAGTTCACGACCGGAACCGGACGTGCTGCAACCTAGGGATCACCAGGCAGCAGCTCTTTCGCTCTATAGGGATATCGAGGGGGGGCATAGCACAATTCTTCTTGTTTTTGGGTTGGTTTGCCCAGGTGACTGATCCTGCCATAATGTACTCCTGCCTATTCTATTGCACCGGCAACCGAAGTCGAACCTACTATACTCAACTCAAACTCTAGTGACGTCAGATTTAACACTAGACTTCAACCATACGGTTGACATTTATAATCTGATCGTCCTCAAGGACGAGCCGACCCACTATACTCAACTCAAACTCTAGTGAAATCTTTTCAACTGGGCTAGGCCCCGTGGTTTTTTCCCTTTCCAGGGTTTTCCTCGTAAAAAATCTTGAGTTCTCTGTGTGTGAGCTGGATATCCGTGCAATATTAAGACGTAAAATTAAAACTCTATCGCTGTGTATATATATGTATAAAATAAAGATTATTATATAATTCATCTTATGTATTAATTGAGAGCTTTGTCTATCGATTAAAACATGTTGAAGTCTAAGACCGATTTGGGATGACTCTAGTATTTTTTAAAAATCACTTATAAAATTATTGTGGAAAGAAAAACTTCACAATTATGATTGTGGTAAGTAATTTTTCATCAAAAAATTTAAAAATAACAAAAAATAGTATTCAAATGAAATTATAATTGTTATCTATCCCAAATAGATCTCTCGTATTGCATTACTATTAAGACTTCATTTGAGATGACTTTTTTACTGTTTCTTAAAGTGGCTTTTTAGTAAATTTTTTATTTTTTATACTAAAAAATTATTTTAAGAAACATTAAAAAAAATCATCCAAATGAAACCAAAATTTGCTCACCCGACAAAATACTAATAAAAAACTAATAATCATTTATTTTTAAAACATTTAGGTCAATTAAATCAGAATCACACACATCATGCATACTCGAAGTCTCGAACCTCTACCAACCACCAAGGTGAGCTATGTAAAATAAAAATTCTGAATTTATCCACGCCTAACGGTATATTCTCCTGCCGTCTCAGAGCTCACCCTCACTCTAGTGTGTGCCTCGATTCTTACCTACTTCTGCTAGTACAGTAATGTCCCCTCTCCGCCGAATCTTTAAATACCAAACCGTGAGAACTGGATGGCATCGACACAGTCGCTTCTTTGCCGAGCGCTCCATTCCTTCTCGCGACCCGCCGTAGCTGCCAACTTCGCCTGCTTTATCTCTACGCCGACGTTCTCCCGCGTCTACGCCACCCGGTACATGGCTTCCGCTGCCGAGCCCTTCCTGAAGGTTCAGATCCAGCGCGACGATACTGTAAGTCAATCCTACTCCTTCCCATCCGGTCGCCCTTCAGGTGTTTGCTGGAATGCCGATTCGCCATCTTCGATTGATTTTCCTTTCTGAAACTTCGTATATCGCAAAGATTCGGCATTTTTTGGTTGGCTAGCTTCGATTTGATGTTCCTGTTGGTAAATATCTTTTATTTATTTATTTATTTGGTGAAATTTCGTATTTAGACCTTTGATGCGTATGTTGTTGGGAAAGAAAATGCACCGGGAATTGTGGTGGTTCAGGAGTGGTGGGGAGTTGATTTCGAGGTCAAGAACCATGCTCAGAAGATTGCGAATTTGGCTCCTGGTTACAGAGCTCTGATTCCGGAGTAAGCCCTCCGCCCTCTCTTCATCGACCATTAAACTGCGAACTTCACTTTAAGCGTAGGTTAGCATAGTTATTGTCATTTGATGAAAGAGGATGTTGTTAGTTGTTACCCAGAATCTGTCAATGGCCTCTGATACCTATCTACTTGAAGCAACTTATCACTAATCGTACTTATTGCTAAAGATACCTTATATAGAATGATTATGTTAACTTGGGCATTTTTTTTTTTTTCTGGTGTCAGTTTATACCGTGGAAAGGTTGGTCTTGACGTTGCTGAAGCACAGCATTTGATGGGTGGCTTGGACTGGCCAGGTGCAGTCAAGGATATTGGTGCTTCAGTTCAATGGCTCAAAGCCAATGGTTCACCCAAGGTAATATTGACTGTCTTTGTATATTTTATCAAGTAATCATGTGATGAAGAATGATATAGATATTAGTCATTTATTAATATTCCCTTCTTATGGGACTTGCATGCATTTCCTTCTTAGTATGTCATAGTTTTGCCTTGCTCATTCTGTTCAGCTGATGTCAATTTGCTTAGGAGATGCTTGGTTGCAACTTGCAAGTGAGGGTTGTTTGTTTTCAAGTAAACTAAGTAAATGAATTTTGATTTATTATATTTTAATTATCCTCTAGTCTGTAAACCTAGTTGATTTTACTCTTTAAAACTATTTGGTGCAGCTATATGCAATTCATATTAATCTTTAGAAGCCATTTGTAAGCAGTTAAGGCATTATGGGATTAGAAAATAAAAAATATGCTTGGATTTTTGGGGTGTTATAAAGTTGATTTTGAGTGAGTCGGTCTCAACATGAAATCAAAACTTTTGATTTTGACTCAAGCCGAGTCTAGTTAAAATTGATCTAATTTGAGTGAATTCTAGAGCTATGTTGAGCCAGTCTATTAATTAAAAAAAAATCTTATATGCAATTATTCTTATGCATTTACTTCTATTTCATTTTTTCATCAAGTTATCTAACATAAATGTTCATTTATGCATGTATATATGTGACTGAGAAAATTTTGAATATGGGAGGCCCTTTTGATGAGATTAGGTAACAGAAATGCTTAGAAATATGTAGTTTATTATTTACGAAGTGATTTGTAGATTTCGGTATAAAGATAAGAGTTTTATAGGAGTATAGTCAAAGGAATACCAAGACTAGTCTTGTTTGAATTAATTTGAGCTGATTTGTAAGCTCACTTTATGGAATGAATTTTTAGTTGGAAAAATGGTTAAAATGATAGTGGATGATCATATTTATATTATGATGTGAACTTATGATCTAGAGTGGAAGCTATAGGCTTTGTAGTGGTATGAAGAACAAAATTAGGTACAAAGGTGCCTAAACAAGCTCTAGGGCTTTGAAGAATATTGGGTTGACTTTTTTTTAAGACTTGAGTTATGAATGGTTGATCTTAAAAGATGGATAGCCTATAGGCCAAGATGCTAAAGAGATTTAGAAGATGATTTGAGAATAATAACAATAAAGATAAAAGATAACTAATCAATCCCACCAAATTTTGTCAAAGTAGGTCACCGAGCACTAATCAATGCTAAAATTTCTCCTTACATACCAACACTATTTATAGAGTTAAAATGACTATCATAATTCAAAATTAATAGAACATTTTTTATGGGAAAGAGAGTAGGTGGGAATTAATGGAGGAATGTGCCAACCACTTTTATTAATTCATATTATCTCTATTAAATGGCTAACATGTATATGTTCCTGAAGAAAATTCAAACCTTCTAGATGTTCAATATGAAATTTAAATATTAAAACTCTTAACTAATTACTTCTTCATGAGTGAGCTATTGAAATGGGCGAGCTATTTAAATGGGCATTGATTGGGCTCTTGCTTTAGCATTTTCTTGGGTTCTTATTTAGGCTCTTGTAATTGGACCCTTAGCTTCATATTTTTTATTCAATTGATGTTTCATATCAATTAACACTACTGTTGCCAAGTCCCAAGTCCTGGATGAGAAAAATGGAGTGTTGCATTAAGTAGTCGACAATCAGCATAAAACTTGTCGAATAATAATGATATGAATCCTTTAAGAAATTGTGTTAATGCTAGGGCGTCCCTGGAAGCGACACGCTGTATGGCCTGAATACAGTGACAAGTGTGCAAGGGCCGCTGCACCGGCGCCCGGGTGCAGTGTTAAATAGGCAAGGGTTCCCACATCAAGGACAGATGTGGGCAAAGAAGCTAGTCCATGAAACTAAAATTAGGATAGAAACTTGGAATATAGGTTCCCTTACTGGAAAATTAATGGAATTAATAAATATTATGATTTATAGGAAGATAAATATTTTGTGCATTCAGGAAATTAAATGGGTTAGATGAGGATGCTCAGGTGGATGAGTGGCTTTACCCTTAGAGATAGGATACGAGATGAGCATATACGTGAAAAGGTTGGAGTAGCTCCAGTAGAAGATAAGATTAGAGAGAGTCGCCTTAGATGGTTTGGTCACATAAAACGGTGGCCTTCCAATGACCCGGTTAGGAGAGTAGATGTAATAGATTTGACTTATGTTAAGAAAGGTAGAGGCAGACTTAAAAAGACTTGGTTAGAAAATATTAGGAATGACCTTTCTTTATTAGATTTAAACGAGAATTTGACATTTAATAGGACACAATGGAGAAAAAAGGATTCATGTAGCCGACCCCACGTAGTGAGATAAAGGCTTGATGTTGTTGATGTTTTATATCAATTACTAAACTCATTTGGATTAGTGATTATAAATCCATTAATTATGTAATTAAGCTATATTCAGGTAATTGCAAATTTATTAATTAAAAACTATTATAAATGATAACAAATCTTGAATGTCATGTGGTAGCAAAGAATGAGGGATTAATTATGCAATAATTGAAGATTTAGTTTATCTGCGGGCCTCGTTATTAAGCTTTGGATTAATTAAGTATTAATAAAGGGCCTATTTAAGGGCTAAGTAAGTGCTTAATAAAAAAATAATTAAGTTATATGCAAAATTCATGTATTAATTATTGTGATTGTCTCATTATTAAACTATAAATCAATTAAGATAAATTATTTTAAATAATTACATTAAATTCGAATTAAAAGTACAATTTTTTAAAATTTGAAAAGCATTGCATGCGCTTAGAACACGTGCATTTTACTTGTTAATCAAAGGTGCTCATGACATATTGATTGAGGGATTAATTAATTAAACATTTGTTAAGCAGCATGATTAAGCATCAATTAAGGGATTAATTTCATCTAATGGTATGATTTTTAAGCTATGATTAATCAAGCACTACTTAAGAATGCTTTTATCTTAGGAACTCATGAACCATTGATTAGGAGGCTAACTAACCAATCACTAGTTAATTAGTAAGGGAGATTACTTGTATTAGTTAAACACAAAGTAACGAATAAATATTGAGAATTAATTAGGGGAAGATTAGATAATTATAAACAGTAATTATGGCATCATTACGCTTGAGGATTAATTAGCAATAATTGTATTTACTTGTTCATCCACTTTTTTAGTGTCTGATTCCACTGCAATGTAGACAAATCGGCAACAAAAATGGAAGATGAACCAATGCTAAGGATCAAAGTTAAAAGCAGAAAGAACTAGAATTGAGGGCAAATTGTTTGGTTGAATCATTGTGTCTTTCTTTTGATGGAAGGTTATATGCATTAATTAAACTATTAATTAATCCAAAACCTCAATAGTGATTAATTTACTATTCAAGATATTAACAAAATGCTTAGTAAGTTCAGTCTAAATGTAAGATTGTTAAGAACTAATTAAGTACTTATCAAGGGACTTGTTTAGGTATTAACTCATAGTTATTAAAGAACGTAATTATTTTATTTAATAATAATATATTTCTCTAGATTTTGCTCAATTTGTTTCCGATTAGATAATGAGTTACTTTGTTGGAGGGTGCAAAAGATGCATCAATTAAATTTTTTGATGAACTTAATATAAAAATATTAGAAAGGAATTGATTAAACTTAACATGGCTACGAGATGAGCACAAGACTTTTGTATGAGAGTTTGATCCTTGTTTAATACTCAATATGAATGAATTTTGGAGGCTCATAAAGTTTATCGCAAAATAGGAAATGAGGTTTTTACCTGCATGAGCATTTGTGAAGGCTTATTCTCATTTAGAAACTAAATTCTTAAGATCATAGATCCCGGATTATTATTGCTCTGCCATGTTTTGTACCATGATACATAGATAATGAATTGACAACCATAATGCAGGTAGTTATTTTCATATGATAGTATCTTTCCCCTTTTCCCTTTTTATTTTCATATGATTTGACTTTTTAATGCTAAACAACCATAATGCAGCTACACCGTTGTACATGTGGAATAGTTATTTAGGCTTTGTTTGGGACGGCTTTCTTACTGCTTCTTAAAATAACTTTATAGTACAAAAATTAAAATTTTTTTACTAGAAAGTTGCTTTAGGAAGCAGTAAGAAAGTCAATTTTGTACTTGAAAGTTGCTTTAAGAAGCAATAAGAAAGCCGTCCCAAACGAAGCCTTAGTCTGCCCACCAAACTTGTTGCTTCAAAGTGCAAAAACATGCATGTAAAGATTCCGCTTCTATATTGAGTTCTTGTGGAAATGCCTTCTATGTTATTAAGAGAGCATTTTATCATGGCAATGGCATTAATTGAGTTATTTATTATCTTGTATTTTTCTTGCTATATATGCTAGATTATGCATGTACCCAGCAACATAATTATTGTTTAGTTTGAGTCCATTTTGTCTGCTTTCAGATGAGCTAGATTTTTTTATATTTTATTCCCCTTAGTTACTGATGCTTGAAGCCTATAAATATTGACAATTTCTATGACGTTTCTTTCTGAATGCTTCAGTTATATTCTCTTTTTTATTTTTTATTTTTGCAAAACTAAAATGATTACTGATTTATTTATATGTTTTGCCATAATTCATCTCTTGTTTGACTGATTATCCTAAAGGGCTTGCTTTGGAACTTCTTTACAAGAATGACTAGTTCATGCTGCTCTTGTGACGTCAAACATACTTGCCTGATTTATTTGTTTAGGTTGGTGTAACTGGATTCTGCATGGGAGGTGCCCTATCCATTGCCAGTGCTGTTTTAGTTCCTGAAGTTGATGCAGCTGTGGGTTTCTATGGTGCACCTTCTGCAGAACTTGCAGATGCTGCAAAGGCAAAGGCACCCGTGCAAGCTCACTTTGGAGAACTTGATTCCTTTGTTGGTTTCTCAGATGTTACAGTAAGATCATGCTTTAACTCGAGAACACTACATCTTTCTATATCCCAATTTTAATTTTTTTTCCTTTGCAACTATTAATCATATAACATGATTATATTCGAGTGCGTCTAGTCAATGAGAAATTGCTTCATTCTATAGGTATAACTATTTTAGCTGCACAATTGTGTTTCTAAATTTTTTTTTCCTTTAGTGTGTTCATGATTGTGTTTATGGATCTAATGGCATGGTTGATAGTTTTGGAAATCTTTTGTTTGTAGCTTAGCATCATATTGGATTTGAATTCGTTTTCATACCGAGTTTGGTTTTTAAAGTATGCTTGACAGGGCTTTGTTCTCGGGTCTAGAAACTAGTTTGTAAAACCTTGAGTTGAAATTACAGCATAATTCATTGCTTTGTCATGCATATATTTCACCAGAAAAAAAATATGGTTTTACTTTATCTATAATGTTTTGCTCATCATAAAACGAAGGTTATTTACTATGTTGATTGAAAAAACTAGATTCATGGAGTGAATCTACTTATAAAAAAAGGTTGTTTGATTTGAAGATCTATAATAGGCTGAGTTTGATTCATATATTCTATGATGATCTTAGGAATTCTCACTTTTCCATATTGAAGGGTTAGATTCATGTATGTTTTATGGTCATACATCTTCATTTTCTCATTAATATATTCATGCATTCTTACTGAAGTCATCTACTTGTAAAACCCACCCTTCTTTCTCTCCCTTTATGAACTTAAGATTCATGGAGTGGATCTACTTCTAAAAAAAGATTGCTTGTTTTGGAGATCTATAATAGACTTAGTTTGATTCATATATTCTATGATGATCTTAGGAATTCTCACTCTTCGTTCATGAAGGGTAGAAAAAAACTTTGCTAATTTGAAATCCTAAAAGTCCCCCTTCTCTTGTAGCAAGTGCAGTTATGATAAATTGTTTTACAATTGATCTTTTCTATGCTTTTTTTCTTCTCTTGACTTAAAATGTCAAGCTCTCTTCCCCAAGTGCACGCCAATATATTTGGAAGGGTTTTCCCATTACCAACCCTTTTACTCTCTCCCAACATGGATCATTTTTATTGGCTTGTCATTTTTCCATATAAGAATTGCTTGGGAACAAGAGAATGACCAGATAAACATATAATCGAAAAAAGATTACAATGGGTTTGTTTGGTTAGGACTAAATTGAAATTTTATCAATTGAGAGCGAGAGCAACTGAGAGACCCAAGGGAAGAATAAGGACCTCTCTTGCTCAAAGAATCAAATTTTCTTGAAGACCTCGATATGGTTGGTAGTTCTTTCAAGGAATCTTTTTTCAAATCTCACAATATGTCATATTAACAATAAAGAGTTATTCAATAAGAATCATAGGATAATTACCAAAAAACAAAAGGTTGGCCAAACAACAAGGGAAAGCTTCTCAGCACTAGTAAGATAAGGACATCAGTGCAAATAACCAAAAATTTCTTTAGTGCAAGCGTAGTTATTTGATTAAATTTCTTGATTTTCGGTTATTTGATAACTATTTATTTAGCTATAATAATTTTGGATTTGTGATTTAGAATTTCTTAGCTAGGGTTTCTAATGTGAATCTTAAATTTGTAAGAAATCATGTAACAAGCACTTTAAAACTATTAAGACAAACTATTAGTCAAAAATAATTATTGATTATCGTAATTAAAATCTAAAACATGTTAGAAATAATTTCGAATGAAAAGACTAATGTCTTCTATTAGAAATGATCAATGAGATTTAGGATCAAAATACCACTAACTCTAACAGAAATCCAAATTTTCACTAACATAGCCAAATACAATATCACTTTCAAACTAATAATTATTGAAAATGGAAGAGGAGAAACTAATCTTGAAAATTAGGGTCAAGAAAACCATGCATTCGAAATTGTTACAATTCATAGAATTGGAGAATGGTAAAAATACCTTCTACTTATTATACAAAATTATCCCTATTTATAGATCTATACAATATGTCTTAATAAAGAAATAAATAACTTCTAATTGATACATAATTGCCTCAATATAATCCTTCCTAATTCAGCTACCCAAATATAGAAGGATATTGGCGTGATCCAGGTGAGCCTCCCACGGATTCTATCCAACAGCTTTCTAGTGCTGTTTTTCCATTCGGAATACTCCCATTTGTTGCCCGGAAGTCTCCATCGGCTGCCCACCCACAGAACTTCGCCAAGATCAACCACCACAATTTGGAACTTCCTCTGCGCACCTCAAACAAGACCTGCGAACTTGTCTATGGTGAACTCTTCCCCAAGTTTCCTATTTTCTTAGTCTATTTTCAATTGTGGTAATATTTTGACTCACAAAGATCATGTTAAGCTCTTCACCGCTACGCTTAGAGAACTAGAGAGTTGAGTGAGGGACTCGTGTATAGTGCCTAATCTCATTGTTAATTTAGGGATTTACATTGAACCATTCATGTATGCAATGTTAGATTAACTTGTTGTTTTCTGATTTTAACTTTTACCGTGTGATTCGGCCTAAGCTTATCTTACCGCTCTTTATGTTTTTATTGCGTCGTTTAAATTCACCATCAAGATATAATTATTTGTTCTACGAATATTAAGTGTGCAAATTCCTTAAAACAATTCATCCATGTAATTATGTTTTACATCATATATGTTTCTGAAGAAAATTCAAACCTTCTAGTTGTTAAATATGATATTTAAATATTAAAACTCTTAACGAATTATTTCTTCATGAGTGAGCTCTTGTAATGGGCCTTGATTTGGCTCTTGCTTTAGCATTTTCTTGGGTTATGATTTAGGCTTTTGTTATTGGACCTTAGCCTCATATTTTTTATTCAATTGATGTGCTATATCAATTACTAAACTCATTTGGATTAGTGATTATAAATCCATTAATTATCTAATTAGGCTATATTCAGATAATTGCAAATTTATTAAGTAAAAACTATTGTAAATGATAACAAATCTTGAATGTCATGTGATAGCAAGGAATGAGGGATTAATTATGCAATAATTGAAGATTTAATTTATCTGGGGGCCGCATTATTATGCTATGGATTAATAAAGTATTAATAAAGGGCCTATTTATGGGCTAAGTAAATACTTTAAAAAAAAATAATTTGGTTATATGCAAAATTCATGTATTAATTATTAAACTATAAATCAATTTAGATTAATTATTTTAAATAATTACATTATATTCGAATTAAAAGTACAATTTTTTAAAATTTTAAAAGCATCGCATGCGCTTAGAACACGTGCATTTTACTTGTTAATCAATGGTGCTCATGACATATTGATTGAGGGATTAATTAATTAAGCATTAGTTAAGCAGCATGATTAAGCATCAATTAAGGGATTAATTTCATCTAATTGTATGATTTTTAAGCTATGATTAATCAAGCACTACTTAAGAATGCTTTTATCTTAGGAACTCATGAACCATTGATTAGGAGGCTAACTAACCAATCACTAGTTAATTAGTAAGGGAGATTGCTTATATTAGTTAAACAAAAAGTAATGAATAAATATTGAGAATTAATCAGGGGAAGATTAGATAATTATAAACAGTAATTATGGCATCATTACGCTTGATGATTAATTAGCAATAATTGTATTTACTTGTTCATCCACTTTTTTAATGTCTGAATCCACTGCAATGTAGACAAATCGGCAACAAAAATGGAAGATGAACCAATAATAAGGATCAAAATTAAAAGCAGAAAGAACTAGAATTGAGGGAAAATTGTTTGGTTGAATCATTGTGTCTTTCTTTTGATGGAAGATTATATGCATTAATTAAGCTATTAATTAAGCCAAAACCTCAATAGTGATTAATTTACTATTCAAGATATTAACTAAGTAAGTTCAGTCTAAATGTAATATTGTTAAGAACTAATTAAGTACTTATCAAGGGACTTGTTAAGGTATTAACTCATAGATATTAAAGAACGTAATTTTTATTTTTTTATTTTTTTATTTAATAATAATATATTTCTCTAGATTTTGCTCAATTTGTTTCCGATTAGATAATGAGTTACTATGTTGGAGGGTGCAAAAGATGCATCAATTAAATTTTTAGATGAACTTAATATAGAAATATTAGAAAGGAGTTGATTAAACTTAACATGGCTACGTGATGAGCACAAGACTTCTGTAAGAGAGTTAGCTCCTTGTTTAGCACTCAATTGGAATGAATTTTGGAGGCTCATAAAGTCTATTGCAAAATAGGAAATGAGGTTTTTACCTGCATGAGCATTTGTGAAGATTTATTCTCATTTAGAAACAAAATTCTTTAGATCATAGATCCCGGATTCTTGTTGCTCTGCCATGTTTTGTAATATGATACATAGATAATAAAGTAGGTAGTCCATTCCTGAAATGATAGTATCTTTCCTCTTTTCCCTTTTTATTTTCATATGATTTGACTTTTTAATGCTAATAATGCAGCTACACCATTGTACTTGTGGAATAGTGATAGGAAATACTTGAGTTCGCAAGTAATCCTATTGGATTTACTTGAGTTAGCAAACAACCCTAACAATAATTGGTTCAAAACAGCAATAAAAACATGAAAAAATTGGACAAATCAATCTAGAAAAGATAGATTGCGATAGTGGAAACAAAGCGAAACAAAACTCAAAGCAAGATACAATTGATCCTCAATTTGAGAGGAGGATTGTCTCTCCCAAATCTCTAGATAAGAGAGTCTAGAGCCCAAGTCGCCAAGAAACCCTAATTCCAATCAATCAAAACATCATCTCTCCTAATCCTCTCATGCTCTTTAATACAAAAGCTTTCCTAATCTAATTTCCCTCCCAAGCCCTAGCTGCCCCCTCCTTTTCAATTTGAATTCATGTAGACAAGTGGGGCCCACCCTTTGGGCAGACAAGAGCAGGGGAGGCGGACTGTTTCCGCCTCCTGTAGAAAAGGACTAGGCCGGTTCAGGGTGAACCGGCCTATCAAATAGTTATTTAGGCTTCGTTTGGGATGGCTTTCTTACTGCTTTTAAAACAGCTTTCTAGTTAAAAAATTAATTTTTTTTTTTACTAGAAAGTTGCTTTAAGAAGCAATAAGAAAGCCGTCCCAAACGAAGCCTTATTCTGCCCACCAAACGTGTTTCTTCAAAGTACAAAAACATGCATGTAAGGATTCCACTTCTATATTGAGTTATTGTGGAAATGCCTTCTATGTTATTAAGAGAGCATTTTATCATAGTAATGGCATTAATTGAATCATTTATAATCTTGTATTTTTCTTGCGATATAGGATAGATTATGCACGTACCCAGCAACATAATTATTGTTTTGTTTGAGTCCATTTTGTCTGTTTTCAGATGAGACGGATTTTTTTATATTTTGTTCCCTTAGTTACTGATGCTTGCAGCCTACATATATTGACAATTTCTATGACGTTTCTTTCTGAATGCTTTAGTTGTATTCTCTCTTTTTTTTTTTTGGCAAAACTAAAATGATTACTGATTTATTTATATGTTTTGCCATTATTCATCTCTTGTTTGATTGATTATCCTGAAGGGGGCTTGCTTTGGAACTTCTTTACAAGAATGATTTGTTCATGCTGCTCATGTGAAGTCAAACATACTTGTCTGATTTATTTGTTCAGGTTGGTGTAACTGGATTCTGCATGGGAGGTGCCCTATCCATTGCCAGTGCTGTTTTAGTTCCTGAAGTTGATGCAGCTGTGGGTTTCTATGGTGCACCTTCTGCAGAACTTGCAGATGCTGCAAAGGCAAAGGCACCCGTGCAAGCTCACTTTGGAGAACTTGATTCCTTTGTTGGTTTCTCAGATGTTACAGTAAGATCATCCTTTCACTCGAGAACTCTACATCTTTCTATATCCAAATTTTAATTTTTTTCCTTTGCACTATTAATCATATAACATGACAGGGCTTTGTTCTCGGGGCTAGAAACTAGTTTGTAAAATCTTGAGTGGATATTACAGAATAATTCATTGCTTTGTCATGCATATATTTCAAAGAATTGGCATCTAAATTGATGCATTAGTTGTCACCAGAAAAAAAATATGGTTTTACTTTATCTATAATGTTTTGCTCATCATACAACGAACGTTATTTACTATGTTGATTGAGAAAACTAGATTCATGGAGTGAATCTACTTATAAAAAAAGGTTGTTTGATTTGAAGATCTATAATAGGCTGAGTTTGATTCATATATTCTGTGATGATCTTAGGAATTCTCACTCTTCCTTAATGAAGGGTTAGATTCATGTATGTTTTATTGTCATACATCGACATTTTCTCATTAATATATTCATGCATTCTTAATGAAGTCATCTACTTGTAAATCCACCCTTCATTCTCTCCCTTTATGAACTAGATTCATGGAGTGAATCTACTTCTAAAAAAAGATTGCTTAGTTTGGATATCTATAATAGACTTAGTTTGATTCATATATTCAATGATGATCTTAGGAATTCTCACTCTTCTTTCATGAAAGGTAGAGAAAACTTTGCTAATTTGAAATCCTAAAAATCCAAATTGTTTTACAATTGATCTTTTCCATGTTTTTTTTTTTTCTTCTCTTGACTTAAAATGTCAAGCTCTCTTCCCCAAGTGCACGCCAATATATTTGGAAGAGTTTTCCCATTACCAACCATTTTACTCTCCCAACATGGATCATTTTTATTGGCTTGTCATTATTCCATATAAGAATTACTTGGGAACAAGAAAATGACGAGATAAACATATAATCGAAAAAGATTACAATTGGTTTGTTTGGTTAGGACTAAATTGGAATTTTACAAACTGAGAGTGAGAGCAACCGAGAGACCCAGAGAAGAATAAGGACCTCTCTTGCACAAAGAATCAAATTTTCTTGAATTCCTCGATATGTGTGGTAGCTCTTTCAAGGAATCTTTTTTCAAACCTCACAATATATCATATTAACAATAAAGAGTTATTCAATAAGAATCATAGGATAATGACCAAAAAACAACAAGGGAAAGCTTCTCAGCACTAGTAAGATAAGGACATCAGTACCAATAACCAAAAAATATTATTTATTTCAAGCGTAGTTATTTGATTAAATTTCTTAATTTTCAGTTATTTGATAACTATTTATTTAGTTATTATAATTTTGGATTTGTGATGTAGAATTTCTTAGCTAGGGTTTCTAATGTGAATCTTAAATGTGTAGGAAATCATGTAACAAGCACTTTAAAACTCTTAGGACAAACTATTAATCTAAAATAATTATTGATTATCATAATTAAAATCAATAACATGTTAGAAATAATTTCAAATGAAAAGACTAATGTCTTCTATTAGAAATGATCAATGAGATTTAGGATCACAATACCACAAACTCTAACAAAAATCCAAATTTTAGCTAACATAGCTAAATACAATATCACTTTCAAACCAATAATTATTGAAAATGGAAGAGGAGAAACTAATCTTGAAATTAGGGTCAAGAAAACCATGCATTCGAAATAAATCCAAATTTTAGTAAATCTAACTTAATACAATCTCCCTTTCAAACCAATATTGAAAATGATGAAAAAGAAAAAGTAAATGAAAAATAAAGAAATGAAAGAATTCACTAAAAAACAAGCTTCAAGCTTATTCAGAAGACATAACCCCTTTTAGAATTCTTCAACGCCACTCATTAATCAATGAGTTGATTCTTGGAAATAGTTGGAATTCTACTTCCAACTTGAATTTACATTTAGTTCCACTGAGTTAAATACATCTTGCAGATCTCTATTTATAATCACAAAATCAGTTAAAAACACCTTCCTTCTACTGAAGACTATAGCTGGTTTGTATAAATTAGCAAAACCAAGCAATTCATTACATTTGTTTCCAAAAAAACTAAGAAGTGGATTGCTTTGAACTATCGTAGAAATTAGGATAAATCAAGGAATAGTCCTAAAATAAAGAACTCAAGGATCAACCTTCATAATTTAACTGTTCTTGGTTAATTAGCTTCATAGTAGCTTTTTCCATTGCCAATTTTCATGAGGTCTCATCGATCAATTTTTCCTCAGGCTGCAAAGCAATTGGAAGAGAAGCTGAAAGCTTCTGGTGTGCCCTCTGAAGTCTACATCTATCCTGGAGTTGGTCATGCTTTCCTTAACGATTCTCCTGAGGGAAAACAGAGGAGGAAGGATATGGGATTGAATGATGATGATCCAGCAGCTATAGAACTGGCTTGGTCTCGCTTCAGCTCTTGGATGAGCAAATACCTTTCTTCTTAAGCACCTTTTTTGTTCACAACTAAGGATTCGTTTGGGACAACTTTCTTATTGCTTTTTAAAGCAACTTTTTAGTACAAAAAATTTAATTTTTATATTAAAAAGCTGTTTAAAGAAGCAGTAAAAAAACCATCCCAAACGAAACCTTATCCGCTGCTTTGCATCTGCTACTATTGTGCTTTGCTACTGTCTTCGAGTTGATGAGAGTGTCTGGTAGTATTTGGAGGTGCTTTGTGTAGGACTTTATTAAGTGCCAGTTTGTGTGAAATGAATTTTCTTTGGCTTATATTATGATTGCTCCCTATGGAAATCTTTTGTAGGTTGTATGACTATTATGTTGTGTGCTGAATTTTAAGGATATGAGGATAAGCTACACTCAATGCTATCACTCTTTAATGAATATTTGGTGTGTAGATGAACTTAATCTTAGCCTAAAAGTTTAATTTTATAAGTGAAGATCTATCATTTAATGTTTTTAAATGAGGATATGATTAAATTTAATGATATAAGTTAAGGCAAATGATGATTGATTTTCAAAGTATTTATTTAATGAGCATTATAGAAATCATTTAATTTTACTGGTTTTCATAAGATTCATCATTTGTTCTAGTTAGTTTAGTTGATAAATTTAAAAAATTTCTTATCAAGATTCTATAATAAAATCTCACTTATATTAATTTTTTATTTTAACACTAAGAAAAAAATTCATCACCTTGAGTTCTTAGGTTTTGTTTGAAATAACTTTCTTATTATTTTTTTAAGATAATTTTTTAATAAAAAATTAAAAATTTACTAAGACCACCTCAAACTAAGCCTTAATCCATCATAATTAAGCCCTTAGTCACCCAACAGCTTTTCACTTCAAAAGAGATTACAACAAACCAACATAAATGACTTCCTCTGCCCTTTATAACCATCTTAATTACCAATCCAATGGTACAATTTAATGTTGATCATTGGCATATTCTTATAATTGTAAATTTAATCATCACTTTTAATGTTTATCCAAATTCTATATCGGAATGTATCTCAAGTTTGAGATAATTTTTTTACCATTTATTAAAACTGTTTTTTAATAAAAAATTAATTTTTTTAGCTAAAAAGCTGTCATAAGAATCAATAAAAAAAATCGTCCCAAATAAAACCTTAATCTGCGGCCAGAAGAAAAGTTTTGCAACATCATAAAATCATAACCATAATCTACAATCTAAAATCCAAACCAAGGACAATAGTACAATACACATGTTTATAAAGTTAACCAACATAGTGAATGAGAACTCATTTACTTTACACGACAAAAGGGATAAAATGCAAGCAATAGCTAACCCAGAAGGCTCATCAGTAGCCTGATTCTTCTTAGGCTTCATTGGGCACGGTTTTTTTTGCCGCTTCTTAAAGCAGCTTTTTAATAAAAAAATTAAATTTTTTATACTAAAAAGCTAGTTTAAAAAGTGACAAAAAGCCCGTCCCAAACAAAACCTTAATCATCATCTTCAAGGACACTGCGGCGTCGTTGAATCTGAAGACGGAAATAAGATAGAAATTCAGCAATCAATTCTCTTTCCTGTAGTGAAAATTAGGGAGGTGCAGATCGATACTAACAGTGATTTTGGTCTGTTTGGTGGTTTGGGTATTAATCTGCTCAAGAATTGAGATCAACCTTTCCTCCGAGACCTATTACAGAATAAGAAAGATATAAGAAATTATTATTTCCCAATGCAGTAAGAGGAAAACATGGAAGAAGAAGTTTACCTTTTCACTAATCTGACCCGTTTGAGCTGCTCTAAGGATAACGTCTTCCACACCCCTCGCCTTGTCAGGTTTCACTAATGCTATTCTGGCAACTGTTCATACATAAAACATTTGAAACTTATTTGCCGATAACTATCGATGGCTTACTAAAACTAAAAATAGTATAGGTATGTAGCAATATAACCAGTAAGCATGCAATGCGACATTCAAGTAATATGAACCTACATGACAGTGTCAACTTCGACAAAGGCTACATAAAGACTATGGGTTCGCTTGGGACGACTTTCTTAAAGCAGCTTTCTTGAAGTATAAAAATTCAAGAAAGCTACTTTAAGAAACAGTAAAAAAGTCATCTCAAACGAAGCCTAAGGCTTCATTTGAGACGGCTTTCTTATTGCTTTATGAACCAGTTTTTAGTATAAAATTTTTTAAATTTTGTATTAAAAATTCGTTTCAAGAAGCAGTAAGAAAGCCGTCCTAAATGAAACCTAAGAGTTTCAACCTGAACATGGATGTGGATCAATATTACTGACAATAAAGCAGAACTCCAATCCATATCCCTTTTGATCAGACAGATTGAGAAGAAAGGTTATAGTATAAGCATGCCAGAACTAGCGTGGTTTAAATACAAGTCAAAATTGTATGAGGGGGGGCTTTTCAAACTTTGAAATTCTATTTGTTAAAATACTATAACTTCTCTATAATAGATGCTAACTAAAAAAGAAAGAAAACAACACTTGAGAAGAATCCAATCGCAATGTGCAAGGAGAGAAATGCATCTGAAAATGGAGCTTTCTTTCAAAATATAAAGATTTATATTGACTAAAATTTTACATAATTTAAAAAGAGGGCAATCATGGTCCCCAAATGTGAATTCATGTTTATAGGTTGAGTTTGGGTGTCAATGAGCGTGGAAAGAAATAAATCTAAAAATATAGCTTTCTTCAAAATCTAAAGATTCTTGGTCCCCAAATGTCAATTCATTTTGGGTATGACCCAGACCTAACCAATTATCAAACGGGTCAAAAATCCTAACCCAAACTCCATTCGACCAAGTCCAACTTGAACCAGCATGAGAATTTGTTTGGATCAAGCCGGATAAGTGTCACCCAACTTGAAAACAAGTAACATATTTGAACTTAACATGACCCAAACTCAACACTGTAAGAAAATGAACAGAGCTACTTGCAATGATTTGACATATCTATGCCAACATTCTCACCAAAAACAAGAGAGATTATCATGTGCATATATATTACACAAGCAGATCTACATGTGGATAAGGCATGTACAAGTTGAATTCTTGAAAAGTGCATGTTGCATTCATTCACAAATAAAGGGCAAAAGCACAATCATCCATATACAAAACTACCAATATCTTCATTTAGCAAAACAAAACAAAAAATCAGAAGAAAGATTGTTGCTATGACCATTTTTCCATATAAAATTACAATCTATTGCAAAATAAGTATAAAAATGGGCCACCTTGTTTGAAATCTGTGCACGTGATGGAATATAACTTGGTTGAAATCCTTGAGAAAGCCAATGTCAATTGCCTCTTTGGCTTATCTCTTCCATGTTTCATCAGCCATATTGCTCCTAAGATAGTCAACCACACTTATTATCTCCCTCTATAATTATGCCTTCAGCTTCATACACCCATGGCTGAATAATGCTTTGCAAAAAGAGTGAAGCCTGAAACTCAATAAAAGATCCATCCCCCAATGTTCATAGGCCGGCCAGCAGCTGAAATAAACATATCTTGGTCATCATGAACGACTACTCCAAGATCGGCTTTTTATGAGGGTAATGAAGCCCCATCTATGTTGGCCTCTAACCAACCAAGAGAAAGGAGACACAAGTTGGAAGAGGCTTTCAACTGAGGTAGTTGTAGTCGTCCCAATTAAGGGGTGCAACAGAGTCAAGCAAATCAAAATCTGCGTGGTGACATAATTTTTCCCACCAGTTGTCCCAATTAAGGGTACAACAGAGTCAAGCTGACTCACGATCCGGCTCGAGCTCGACTAGTTAACAAGCTGGCGAGTTGAGCTTATCGAGTTTCAAGCTCGAATTAATTATTGAGCTAGAGTTCGGCTCTTAGGAAGCTCGGCTCTATTATTCGTCGAGCGACTCATTGGGGCAGGCTCGAACACGGACGCAGGATCACAGGGCAGGTGCAAGCTTGCGGGCAAATGGCGGAGCCGACATAGACACTGGATCGCGGGGCAAAATGGCGGGAAGGCGAGATAGGATGCGGGAACGTGGGCTCCAACATGAATGCAGGAACACGGGCTCCAACATGGACGCGGGAAGACAAGAGGAAAGTTGGCACGAACACAGAACTAGTGGGCTTGGACGTAGAACAAAGCCACTCAACGAGTTGATTTCAATGTCACGAGGCGAGTTTGAGCTTGTCTTTTGAGCTTGACTCAGGTTCGAGTTCGAGCTCGGAATTTGGCTCACGAGATAGGCTCGATTTAGGCCTGACTTAAGCTTGACTTGGCTCATTTATACTCCTAGTCCCAATGCTCTTAAAAAAGAGAAATCCATGACTTGGTTATAGATTCAAGGATGGTAGCTACTGTTATAGTCAGACTCCCAACACTCTTCTTTGTTTCTTCGCATTACGAACCCTCCAATTTTGATAAACTACAGATCAATAGATGCGAGCTGAAGCAATATTTGACTAATTCCGGTGAGAGAAGGCCGAGCAAGTTGTATTTGGGATGTACAGGGTGTATATTGATGTGTAGAATCCTGTACATACCCTTGCACACACCAAAACTTTGGTAATCACTAAAACTTGCTCCCAATGATACAATGGAAGGAAACAAAACAATGTTGAGCAGTACAACCCATTTTGCATTAGTGATATTTCTCTTATAAGAGGTACAAAAATGAGATCTTCAGAATTGGTGAATCCTGAATATTATGGCACAAATTGTGATATCTTCTTATAAAATTTCTTACCCTCCATTAAGCCATAATGGAAGATCTGCAAAGCTAAAAATCTTCAAGCACTATGTCAAAAGCAAAATAATAATTACTTTCAACTGAGGAAGAAGCAAACAGCCTCTAATAAATCATCTGTCTTGTCTTCCCCAGGTCCCCAACTAGATACTCAAATTCCCTCCTTTCCAGCAAATGTACTCTCTTCTTTGCCTCTCTTTTTCTAAATTTCCCTACTATTTCCTAATTGATTTTGTTAAATTCCAATCTTCCTATTATTGGAAGATCCTTCATTTGGTCCCAAAAAGAGAGTTGATGAGATCTTTGCCAAATTGGATCATTACTTTCTTTCTCCCTCATGTGATATTCTTTTCCCTAATGATAGACAAAAGATTATCAACAAATTCTTCACATATCATTATCAAGTTATTTTTAAATCCAATCTCACTCCTATGCCCAAATGTAATATTTCCATGTTTGAAAATTTCTAATTTAATAAGAATGGTTCAACGAAATGTTTTCAAATTGGCGGAAAAGCTTCTCTACTAAAACAGGTAAGGTTAATAAGTAAGTGATGAAGTTAAAAGTTGCAACAAAACGTCACAAAACTTGGAGGTGATGACACATTATCACTTAAGAACTCTATGATTGCTAAGCTCAATCAAATTACTCTAAGAAGTATGAGGTTTATGTTCCATCTAAGAACTTGAAGAGTATAATCAAGATAGAACATAACCATATAACAAAGTAGGAAAAAAGAAAAATGTTTAAACCAAAATCAAAAGTCAATTGATTTCTAAAGGGAGATTATAAAACTTTTTCTATCATCGTCTCTAATGGGAGAAGGAAAATAAATTTAATTCAAAAAATTCTAATTAGTGGTTTATATTTTAAAAATATAAAATTTTAATTGCTTTGATTGATTATTTTAAAAACCTCTTCAAAAGAAATATTCTGATGATCTAATCGAATGCTCTATTGATTTCCGTAAGTTACCCTGTGAACCCTTCTTCTTGCATAATTAGATTCTCCTTTTAATTAGAAGAAGCTAAGCAAGCCACTTTCTCCCTCGAAGTATCTAAATCACCTGGATCAAATAGCTTCTCGAACAAATTCTTTCAAGAATTAAAAGAAATCATTCATAGAGATCTAATGTATATGATTAATAATATTTTTATGAATATAAATTCTCTTATTCTATAATTACATGCCTTATTCCTACAAAAATAAGTTCTTGAAACTCTTAAAATTTTAGGTCTATCAATCTGATCTCTTTACCAAAGTGTTGGCTAATAAGCTTAAGAACTATTTTCCGAACTTGACTGATCACTCATGGTGTTTAATTGATGGGAGGGGCACTTTGGAGTACATTACAACCAACAAGTTCTTTCAAGAATTATTGAAAAGCATTCATTTTGATCTACTGCTTGTGTTTGATGATATTTTATGGGAAAAACTTCTCTTCTTAACCAAAATTAGAATGCCTTATTCCTAAAAAAGTTAGTGAAACTCTTAAAAATTTTAGATCTATCAATCAACTCAATGGGATCTTCAAATATTCACCAAAATATTGGCTCAACAATTTCCAAGATTTTATGTCTACAATCAAGCAAAATAAAGACTCAAACAATTTCCAAGATCGGCTTTGAAAAAGCTTTGGCAGCTACATTTGCAATTTTATTTTATAAGCAAGATTATCAACAAATTCTTCACATATCATTATCAAGTTATTTTTAAATCCAATCTCACTCCTATGCCCAAATGTAATATTTCCATGTTTGAAAATTTCTAATTTAATAAGAATGGTTCAACGAAATGTTTTCAACTTGGCAGAAAAGCTTCTCTACTAAAGCAGGTAAGGTTAATAGGTTAGTGATGAAGTTAAAAGTTGCAACAAAACGTCACAAAACTTGGAGGAGGTGATGACACATTATCACTTAAGAACTTAAGAACTCTATGATTGCTAAGCTCAATCAAATTAAAGTCTAAGACGTATGAGGTCTATGTTCCATCTAAGAACTTGAAGAGTATAATCAAGATAGAACATAACCATATAACAAAGTAGAGGAAAAAGAAAAAAGTTGCAACCAAAATCAAAAGTCAATTGATTTCTAAAGGGAGATTATAAAACTTTTTTCTATCATCGTCTCTAATGGGAGAAGGAAAATAAATTTAATTCAAAAAATTCTAATTAGTGATTGATATTTTAAAAATATAAAATTTTAATTGCTTTGATTGATTATTTTAAAAACCTCTTCAAAAGAAATATTCTGATGATCTAATCAATGCTCTATTGATTTCCACAAGTTACCCAGTGAACCCTTCTTCTTGCATAATTAGATTCTCCTTTTAATTAGAAGAAGCTAAGCAAGCCACTTTCTCTCTCGAAGTATCTAAATCACCTGGATCAAATAGCTTCTCGAACAAATTCTTTCAAGAATTAAAAGAAATCATTCATACAGATCTAATGTATATGATTAATAATATTTTTATGAATAAGAATTCTCTTATTCTATAATTACATGCCTTATTCCTACAAAAATAAGTTCTTGAAACTCTTAAAATTTTAGGTCTATCAATCTGATCTCTTTACCAAAGTGTTGGCTAATAAGCTTAATAACTATTTTCCTTACTTGATTGATCACTCATGGTGTTTAATTGATGGGAGGGGCACTTTGGAGTACATTGCAAACAACAAGTTCTTTCAAGAATTATTGAAAAGCATTCATTTTGTCTACTGCTTGCGTTTGATGATATTTTATGGGAAAAACTTCTCTTCTTAACCAAAATTAGAATGCCTTATTCCTAAAAAAGTTAGTGAAACTCTTAAAAATTTTAGATCTATCAATCAACTCAATGGGATCTTCAAATATTCACCAAAATATTGGCTCAACAATTTCCAAGATTTTATGTCTACAATCAAGCAAAATAAAGACTCAAACAATTTCCAAGATCGGCTTTGAAAAAGCTTTGGCAGCTACATTTGCAATTTTATTTTATAAGCTCTAAAGGGTTGGTTTGTTCCACCCAAACTTATTTCATGGATCAAATAACCTTTAATGCATGCCAATTCTCAAGTTTGCATCAATAGAGAACTAGATAATCAATTCAAGTGTTAAAAAAGCTTAAGACAAAATGATTCACTCTCTTATTAATATTGGGAATTCTTGCACAAGATGATTAAAGTTGCGGCTAAGGATTTTTGGATTGAGGGCTGTAATTGTGGCAAAAGGGGTTTATCTATAATATTACTCAAATTCTTGATGGTGCCTTGCTCATTTGTGTTGTTTCTCATTCTCAAGCTCTCATTCTTAAAAGCATTATGCTTAATTATTGAGATGCATCAGGCCTTAGACTAAATTTTTCAAAATTTTCTCTGATCTATCTTGGGAGGCTTAAGGATAAAGGGGTTTCTATTGTTGATGTTACGGGATGCTCTCTTGAATCATTCCTACTAAACATGTGATCCTTGCTCTCGGATCTAAAGCTTTGCAAAAAGATTTAAGGAATTTGATCATTGAAAAAACCCGAAACTTTCTTCATGGAAAGGTAAATTGTTCTCCAAAGGAAACATCAACTCCTTTAGTATTCCACAGAGAACACCCTCTACTCTAGCAACCTTCCTTTAATTGCTGTTCTTATATAAAGCCATAAATCCACCAAATTTTCCAAAAAAACAATTGTTTCCTGGAATTCAAATAACCTTCCAGGTGGTAGTGCTTTATAGCCTTTATGATTAAAAAAGCAAATGGAAATGCGTCATAAGCTCACTAAGCATTTTCAGGCCTTGCTAGTTAATGGTCAATCCATGAAGGAATTCTCCAAAGCTCTCCCAAAGGGATAAGCTTTATGTGATAGAAATCTTTAACGAATGTTTGAAGTATTGGAAGCATGAAACATTTTGATTATTGTTATATAAAAAAAAATAAAGAAACAAGTAAGCAATCTACCTGTGGAAAAATGGATAAATTCTTTGAGAATATTACGGTCATCATACTGGATTGAAATTTCATTACAGCATTTCTGATATTGGTTTATGAATCATTTTTTATGGAGTTTCTCTACCAAAATCCATGCTACATCCTTGGTTCAAAAGTAGATAAACCTGACTGAATTCTCAAAATTCTGATGTAATTTATAAATTCATGCCTTCTATATCTACATAGATCATGATTTGATATAAAATAAAATAAGTCTTCAAAAGTGGCCCTAAACTTGTAAAAATGATAAATGAACATTTCCAACCCTAATGACACAGCCTAAAAGAAAACAAGCAGCAATAAAAGTAACAACGAACATGGAACAATTTTCAAACCACCCAATAAATTGGTAATTTTTCCTTCTTACTAGTTTTAAGTATGGTTTTTCTTATAAAGCCTCTAATAAACCTTATGTTACATCTGCTATATCATTTATTTTGGACAACATAGAAGTGCAAATCTCTTCATGGGGTGGCATAACAGTAAAAAGAAAAAAAAACAATACAAAACAAAGATCAGTTTATTTTTACTTCATAGGACCATAAAATATAATAAGCTAATTAATTTTAGCTAGAACAAAATATAAATGAGAATGACTTCATTTCACAAATGAGTACAGCTTCACAAAAAAGAGAAAGTAATACCAATATACAAACTTACGTCTTTCTCTTGCCTGAACTGACAATATTTGGCTAAGCATAAGTTGTCTTCGTTCCTCGGCTTCCCTAGATTAATGCATAAACATTTTAGTCCTCCAGAAACAGTTTAGAAAACTTTATAGAGGCTAAATAACACATAATATAAACCAAGGTACACCAATAATAAAAAACTGAATGAACAATAACAATTTTTTTATAATGGATTCTTCATTACAGACAAAAATAAAAGATTAAGAACCAGTAGAAAAAAATAACCTCTTGGCATCTTCTTGTGCGTTTTGTTGCCCTTCATTTTGCTGATTCCTCTAATTAAAATATCAAATGCACCATATTTCAGAAAACCATCCTTAGTAAGATTACATAATGCAATTATCTGCCACTGTAATCACTTACAATGCCTTGTTGAGCGATCATTTCTTGCATCCTTCTTTGTCGGATGGCTTCAAGCTCCGGGTCATCCTAGTTTGCAATAATAACCCATTTTTCAATGTTAAAATGCTAAATCCTCAACTAAGGAAGAAAAATCCCCATATCTCACGTAATCATAATATTGATTTGTATAACGCCAGCCATTATAATAGCCAAACCAAAAATGTCTACCGCCTTAACTATTCAATCTAAACCAAGATTAAATATCAAAAGAAAATTCATACATTAATCCTAATTTAGTCCACTGATGCCTCATTTCACCTAATAATCATAGTAATATTTTCTGAAACAGCCATATAAGCAGAAAATTAGCCTCTTTGGTTAGAAAGCTCCGACACTCTTAAAACCATGATCTTGCATTGACGTGTAATCCCTACAGAACGGTCAAAGAATGTAAACCGTAAAACTCGATATTTCCGACAGATATGTCGTGCTTAAATTTATGCATAAATAGATCAGAAATTATATATATAAAAAAAATCAGAGAACAGAAACACATCCATCGCATGCTGCTGCTCAAATCCTATTACCGATGCCTCCCTCGATCAAAATCAACACAAAGAATCCTACCGGGAAAAAAAAGTGCTGGAAAGATCGTAATAAAAAATAAAGAGAGAATAAAAAGAAGTTCTGTCGATCAGAAATACCATTAGACGATGACTGGATAATCGATCTGCAAGATGGGTATAGGGTTCCTTGGCTTTCTTCCCCTTGGCCGCTCTGCTGATTTCTATTTTACTACCCCGAAGAAGAGATGTTACCAAATATAGATGGGCTTTTTCAATCTTAGAGGGCCGTTTCATACAAGTTAGGGGTGCAAACTAGTGGAGTACAGCTCGAGCCAGGGTGTACGAATCGAGCTCTACTATTAAATAGTTCGAGCTCAAGTCGGGCTCGAAAGATGAGCTCGAGCTCGACTCGTCTCACGAAACAAGTCGAGTCGAGCACCTCGTCAAGCTCCTGCGTCGTCAGCAAATCACGCTCGTCTTCCCGAGCTACGTAGACCTCCGTCAACCGTCATCTCGCCGTCAAAGCCGCAAATCCCGCTCATCCACGAATCCCAATCGTCGTCATGAGCTGCGTTGACCTCCGTTGATTGCCTGCGAATCCCGCTCCCGCCTGTGAATCTAATCCCGCTCCCGCCTGCGAATTGAAGCCCGCTCCCGCCTACAAATCAAATCTCGCTCCCGCTACGCGAGCTACTTGACGAGCTCTCGAGTCGAGCAGCGGAGTGTTCGAACTCGGGCTCGTTAAGTCGTCAAGCTCGAAATTGTGTTCGAGCTCGACTCGTTGAGCCCATTAACGAGTCGAGCCCGAGCCGGCTCACGAGCTGACTTTACTCTGTTGCACCTCTAATACAAGTACAATTTAACTCAAATAGGGTGTTAAATTCCTATAATAATTATTAATAATAAAACTAATACATAGTACCTAATACAACAAAGTTAATCATATTTATTATATGTTAATATGTCTTGTACTTATTAACTAATAAATTATTAAACTAATGAAATATAAATCTCAAATTAAAAATTTTTATTAGCACTAATTAGATTATTTGAATAGAACTTATTATATATCAATATACCAATTAATTATTAATTAGAGAATATTAAATTAATGAAATGTTTCTATTAAATAAAAATAAATATAGAAGTTTTCAATTAATGTTAGTTCATATTTCTATTAATTAATTAATACAATAATTTTTATCTTTCCACCCAACCAGCTCGGATATGGGCGGATCCAGCTTCTTTTTTCAGTGTGGGTAAAAATAATTTTTTTTTGTGGAGGATGGACAAAGATGTTTAGGATTTATAAAATGAGGGCAAAAAAATTTTTTAAGAGGGAGCAAAATGCCAAAAATATCCAAAATATTCTAAACAATCCCTCTAAAATAAAAAATAATAATTTTTTGAGGGGGGGGCCCCCTCAAGTCAATGGGGGTCCGCCCATGAGCTCGGAGCCTTTCCTAATAAGCTCTTGAAAGGTACGAGATAATGTGATAGAAACGACATAATAATTGGATTAAGTTCAGTATTCAAACTATTTTTGAAATACTTTAGCTTCGTTTGGAACAGTTTTTTTACTGCTTCTTAAATTAGATTTTTAATAAGCTCTCATTCTTTTCAAAAAAATTAAAATTTACTTTATAAAGCAATACGGCATATTTATTTGAAATAAAGTAATGATATTTCTCCAATTACTTGTTTTATAATATATATAGAGATAAAATTTTCTTTAACTAGTCGCGAAGTCCAAAATATATATATTTATCGAATTTATGAATTTATAATATGTTATAAAATTATATATTATTATTTTTAAATTTTATAAGTATTAATAAAAAATAATTTCTTTCATGTTTAGATTGAGTGAAAAATAAACTATCAATTTCTAAAACAAACTGTTAATCTATAAGCCTCAAAAAATAAATATTTTTACAATAATTGTGTAAATAAGTCTTTAAAGATTCAAATCAGTAATTTGGATATTATTTATATTAATACTTAATTTTCATTAATTTTAAAACTCATTTGTAATTGTCAGCATGTTTTAAAATCCAAGTCATTAAAGAAAAAGATCTCATCACCTTAACATTGCGGTAAAATTCTACACTCGCGCACAAATAGATAAATTGAGAACAATTAATATGACTCGTGAGATTTTTTACACGAAAAACATAAGAAGGGGGACAATTATGATGATAGCCTAATTGAAATGATTTCATTAATATGAGTTGTATATTATAAAAAGTGCACTCCCTCATAACTATAGAAAGCACTAATATAATATAGTAGATTTGAAATGTGAAGTTGGCTTCCATTATATAAGTAAGAGTGGCTTTGATATCTAAGTTTCACTAAAAAATGATTGATGATATGATAAGTCATTCCCCTTATAGAAGGGGACCCACAACTAGAAAGGCTAGCATCAACTTTAAGGGCAATGACATATGCCATCACATATCCCGATGTCTGCTTATAACTTCACTTATACTTATACCTCCACTTAATCGTTCTCATATATATTCAAAACAGACAAAGACATGTTTGGTTCCCTTATAACTCGAATTTTACTTATGTATCCACTTAAGCATCCCATATGTTCAAGAAAGATGGAGTAATAGATGAACATAAACTTATAAATGTCCTAACTTAGCTTCTATAACACATGATCATCTGATCATCTCTCACATTTATCACATCCGTCATATGAACATGTATTGCATCATTTGAATATGAAAATATTGGCATATTTAACATGTATAAATAATATTTAGCATAATGCATGAATGCATGGAAGTGGCACATGATTGATAATTCTAATAATATACATGGGATAAAACTTATATAAATATTTAATAATGATATTTAAAAAAATCATTCATATGAACAATTATAATATCACTTTGAGGCTTTTATTATTCTATAGTACTTTCTATTAACATTTACACAAGCAGAGGAATCATACATTTAAAATCAACTGTGAAACTTTGAGTTTTACTTGTCAAAATACTCAAAATTATGCATTCACAACATACCAAAAGTTGGACGTGGAAAGATTCTTTAAATCATTTAATTCAATTAAAACCCTATAACTTTCACCCAATTTGCTCAAACTGAAAGCTAAAACATGAAAACAAAAGCCTACCTCGAGCTAAACAATTCCCTCAGTTGGTCGAATATAAGAATTCAGCTAAGAGGCCTCGAAAACTAAGCCTTAGTTTTTTCTTTCCTTTGTTCTTATCTGAAAGCTCCTCTCCAATATTTGTAGGGAAAGGGAAAATGAAAATAGTTTAGTGGAAATATTTTAGATATTTATATACAAATTACATATTTTGCTCAACACCGCGTGCGACGCCACCTCCCACAGCATTGTAATGCTCTGCATGAATATTCTAGGTATTCTAAAAAGAGAGTTCAACACCGCAACACTCTCAAGCGCTTTCCCCATAAATAGAGAGGGCCACGCCACCACACAACACTCCCAAAAAGCTTTTTATACTTAACATTCTCTATCTTTTCAAGTCCAGCTATAGACTTTTATAGACTTATAAACATCGAATGACTTAAAATTTCATAAACATTTAACAAACACAATATTAAATTTCAATTATTATCATATTTGGTTAATGTCAACTTGATCTATAGAGACAAATTTACAATTAATGGATGAAAGGAGTACATAACACTCTTGAGGCAAACACATGGACATTATGTCATATAGTTGTGAGATTTAATGTTAATGAGGAGAGTAGTTAAATTTATTTTAAAATCATTCAAATTCATAACCATGCCATAATATTTCCATAGGACCAACATCTTGTAAGGTCAAAGAGGGTAATTGGTTTTAGAAACATTATTGTCTTGAAGATAATGATAGAGGCTATTATTACTTTGGATATGTTAATTTTTTGCACCAATAAATATAATTTTATATGTGCCTCTTTATTGGCCTTGCTAATCTTCTATTTGGTGTGGTATTCTTATGTGAAGAAAATGTTGAATCAGTTACATGACTATTTGAAATATTTATAAGAATTACAGAAGATTAGCATTTAATAATAATAGTCATAGATTAAGATCAAGCCTTGGCCAAAGCTATTGAAAATACCTTATGCCATAGCGAACATAAATTATACTAATATAACATACAAAATAAAGCTACATCCAAGATTCATATACGCAACAGTGAGAAATTTGTTCAAATATTATTCCAGAAATATATGAGTAAATGTTATTTAGAGGAAGAATGGGGGATATGCTGAGTATTACATGGAAACATTTTGTTGAGTTATATAATATAAGAAGAAATTTAATAGCATAAGAAAATGTGAATAAATCTTATGCAACTCAATTTCTGGAGCTATTGAAATTAGAGCCATAAAGGTCTCCTCACCAATAATGTTTAGACAACCCCCTTATACACTATTTATTTATTTCATCTAGTTTATCTTGTATTTGTTCTTAACTTGGTTTATAGGGACACTATTTTCATAATATTTTCCTTCATTTGTTTCACCTATTTTATTTTAAAATATATGATTTTTAGGATATGTTTGTAATAAGTTGGAATCGACAGAGTCAAACTGAATTGGGTCAGCTAAATCAGTTCATGTCGTTTGATTTCCTATTCAAGCAATCTTGTTCCTTTAAAATGGGGATCGAACTTATGGCGTCGTAGTGAGCACGAGAAAGAGGGGAGCGACAGCTAGAAAGGTAGCTCGGAAACAAAGGTCATAAGAAATGTGTGTGAGCAGGGATTGAAGAGGTGTTGTTCGACATCAACCTCCTATCACATGCGATGCATAGCAAGGAAGACGAGTGGCCATGGTCATCTGGCATCACAGTTTGGTGGCTATGACTACCTCATGAGCAATAGAGGATGAGATTTGAATGGAAGAAGGACCGACTCAGATGATGATATCTCGATTTCACCTCCTTGCTTCAGATTTATTCGTTTCCTTCTTGAAGGGGAAGATAGTATATGAGAAGGGGGAATGTAATAACCTATAATCGATAAAGTCAAACGTACCGAACTGTGTCAGCTAAACGGGTTCATGTTGTTTAATTTCCTATTCATGCAATCCCATTCCTTTAAGATGGGGATCAGACTTAGGGCATCACAGTAAGTGCAAGAAAAAAGGGGGAGCGGCAACAAAAAAGGAAGCTTAGAACAATGGTCAGACGGAGCGTGTGTGAGTAGGGATCGAGGAGGTGCTATTTGGCATCAACCTCCTATCACACGTGATGCATAGCAAGGAAGGCGAGTAGAAATGGTCATGCTCGACGGCATCATAA